CAGTAATAGTAGTACGACAACAACAAATCAAGAACAAGAACGACCAATTATACTCTTTCGCAAAAGAAATTCAACGTTACAGAACCGTCTAAGACAACTCGTAAGGAATATTGGCGGTGGTGGAAGACTTCAACAACAAAATGAAAACACATCATGTCAAATGCAACAACAACAGCAACAACAGCCCATCACCACATCACAAACTGAGCTTGATGACATTGATTCTCATCATAGTGATGATGATAAATTGTTAACACCGTAGAATATTACAAGAATAATTTTTTTTAGATATACACATCATGAGGAAACTATCAAAATTGTTGTTTATACTGCTATTTGTTAATATTATGCTTTTTCTCTTCTGTTTTGATCGATATTATTACTGCTTTGCTTTGCTTTGCTCTTGACAAAGATCTGAGGATTATTTTCTTTCTTTTGTTTCATTTTTTTTCTGTTCTAACAGACCGTGTGTCACAGTGATTTGATTTTCGCACGTGTGTGTGTGTATCTTGTTCAATATTCGATATACAGTGCGCTCTCGTATTTTTATACCAAAAAAGAAAATGTTTGTTTATTTCTTTGTTCATACTTTTCTCTATTATTATTACCTTATAATAACATAAATTAACTATCAAGTTTGAAAATTGTCTTAGAAAGGTAACAAAGTGTAGGTAACAAACAGTCAACTAGTCGACTGGTTCTTAAGCAAAGACTATAAATGAGAAAGATCTATGAAAGTCAGTGTTTGACCGTGTCATTATGGTTATAAGAACCAATTTTTTGTTTATATATCATTTTGGACTAATAAGTGAATGCTACGTTTGTAGATGAGTGTATAATTCACTTAAAGAGTTTTGTTGAGTTTTTTCTAACATTCATTCACATTCGTCTCAAGAAGAAACCAACCACTAAGAGTTAGTATGTCTTTTCATCAACGATCGTTTGATATAAACTATTGTGGTTTTAATGTATGATTTCTACTACCTGTAACTGATAACCATCAGAGACATTTGACTGTCTATTATCCTGAACAGGTTAATAACAATAACAAGTTGTGAAAGACTATCATTGATTTGAATTACTTTGTAATTAACATACAAATTAAATATATTGTTTTGGGCTAGCTAAAAATGCTTCGTTTCACTAACAAATTGTTTTATCACATCAGTTAATTAGATTAACGCTGAGTTGATGGTCTTTTTTTGGGCTTTCAGGTTGAAATATTTGTATTTTCTTTTTTTTTGTAGTGTGTATTATATAATACTTACTACTAAAAGAAGAAAAAGAGGACTGGATAAGAAATCCATTTTTTTTTCTCTGTTACAAGATCTAAAAATTAACATGAACTGATTTTGAATAACATAAAAATGTAATACAATAAAATATCATTACTTATTTTTTGCTGATTCCTTGCTAATGGAATATTTTTCTCAATCTTTGATAAAAGAATTCTTAGAATATTTTGATGATTACATAGAAAGTCGTGTAATTCTGTAATATCTATGGTCAGCCAAGCTTACTCAATTCGTCCATTATTTTATACTGTATGTAAACTAATGCAAATAATGCCCATACAAAAGGAAAACGATACACTGATCACAGTCAATTTGCTTAACAAATGAGTCTTTCTAATGAACTATATTCACATCTTGATGATGAGGTGGCTAGATCCGACCGTATAGACTGCATGTATAGCGTGTACACAACGCTATACTCACATGAATAGTACCGAAATATGGCGATCGTATCAGTATGAGATTATTTACATACTATACTGACATTAATACAAAGATGCGAATATCTCAATCCTTTTGTCAAATTAATCAAAATTTCAGATTTTTACAATAGTTCTCATATTTTTACACCGGTTTGAATCTATTAATAATAACTTCTTCTCGAGTTAAGGAAAAGTTATAAAAAAAGTCTAAATGCTTCGTCAAAGTTCGAAGAGACTCGATGCGCAAAGCACGGTGACTGGTGAAGTCATCTTGTAGTCTATTACATCATTCTACATGTAAGAAAAATAGACCATTGAAAATAACCACTCAAGATGACATTGATGTTTTAAAATCATTTGATTTTTTCCAATTATAAAGCAAATATCCCATTTACGATAAAATTCAGCCGTTTGCGCATTCGTACTTTCCAACTGACAATACTTTTATAAATAAATGTTCAGTTCTATATCTTCTTTGTAAGAGTACTCGTTTGTTCGTCTACATCGGACAATCCGGTCTCACGAGTAATATCCTGATCGAGATATATATTCCATTCTGAATATAGAGTATATCCTGAACGGCATATCTGGAAAAATGATATTTTGATCGAGATATTTCTACACAATATTTCTGGAAAAATTATTATCGCTAAAGCCGTGACGTTATTGCTGAAAAAATCGATTATATCACGAGAAAACGGACAAAAAGCTGATTCGGATTCCATGTTGTTCGAGTCTTCATGCAAAAGTCTATCATTTATGATCTTTTAAAACAAAAGTATGTAACCGACAAAGGTTAAAATAATTTTCTTTGTCTTTTGAAAAAACTCAAGAGTATTTTTTCTACACTAAAATGCTAAAACGACGCCATAATCGCAGTAAATGTGATAATAGTTTACACTCCAAGTAGCATAATGATTTAAAGTATTCTCTTTTATGGGCAGACAATCGTTCAATCAATAATAATGTGCGAAACATTTTGAGTGAAAATGATTATCTTTTTAGTAAAAACTATAAATTTGTATAGGTTTGTATTTTATGTGTAAAAAGAAAATAGAAGATGATTTTTTCGACCAAGAACCATCAAATTCTTAAACACAGACACGTACAGGAAAAAGATAAGAAACAAAAAATATATTTCACACTATGTATAGTTAATATCGTTGCTTAACTTATTTGACTATGATTATTTTTAAACGTAAAATTTACAAGTAAAAATACTCTACAGTCTTGTTATAAATAAAACCATTTTTATTTATTTATTTTTATTCAAAGATAAACTTCCATTCGTACACTCAAAAACAAAACCTACGTTGTCTTGATAGGCCTTCAGTGTATTATATTCCGTTTAGGATATAAGTTTATGCCTTAATTGGGCTATATATCAAAGGGGATATATATTATAGCCGGCACAGGACATATAACCCGATCAGTATATATTTTTATATCCTAAAATATTCTCTTCGGGATATATACTTCGTTCAGGCTATGAGACTGACCTGTCC